CATACACCTTGCCAGGGATGGAGAATGACTGAATAGAGTATGTTCGCAGTTGCAAAGTTTGCCAGAGGAATAAGACTACTACGCGTGCCCCGCTAGGTCTTCTTAGACCCTTGCCTATTCCTGATCAGCCAGGAGACTCGGTGTCCATTAACTTCATGGACGCTGGCGTCAAAAGTAGACACAGCAAGAGCCAAGTCATGGTGATAGTCGATAGGTTTAGCAAGTATGCTTTTTCAATACCTTTGCCTTCAGAGGCACGAACCGAGTTAGTGATCCACAAGTTTTTTTATCATTGGGTAAGTGAGCACGGGGTCCCATTGCCCATAGTTAGTGATAGAGACACCCGGTTCACGAGTCAGAACTGGCAGGAGTTGATGAGAGTCTATGGCTCTAAGTTGCTGACGTCGTCTAGCCGCCACCCCGAGACCAACGGTCAGACTGAACAGATGAATAAGATCCTCCAACAAGTTCAGAGGATGTACATTAGACCAGATCAAGTTGACTGGGACGAGAAGCTCCCCAAGGTAGCCAGTGCTTACAACAATAGTGTGCATCTATCTACGTGCCGGCGGTACCACACTCCCAACGAGTTGCACAAGTCCTTCAAACCGCGCAGACCGTTTGAGGGACTTAACCGGGATCAGATTCATAGGCTACCGCCCGGTACTAGGGAGTTCGCTATACAGCATGAAAATGACCTAGCTACTGTCACGGAAAACCTCAGGAAAGCCCAGCATAGGATGATAGAACAAGCCAACAAACATCGTCGCCCATCACAGATCCAAGTAGGCGACTTAGTCTGGGTCAAATCTAACGAATTTGCTCCTGAAAAGAACATCTCGCAAAAGTTACTGCCTGCGTACAGAGGACCGTGGCCAGTTCTAAAAGTCAAGGGCGGAGAAGATGGGCCGTCCTACACCATCGAGATTCCAGTACACCTCCACACCTACCCAGTTTTTCATGCTTCAAAGTTGTTGTCATGCATAGTGAGTGACCAGTTTCCATCTTGACGATCCATGATCCCTCCAGACATGGATGGAAGGTACAACATTGACGGCATTGTAGATGAAGATGTGTTTAGGAAATGAAGTAGAGGTCGTCCTCAAAAACAGTATAAAGTCAGATTCGCATATCAGGAACCAGAAGACGACCGGTGGTTCACCAGTACCGAACTTCTAGAGACAGCTCCCGACATAGTCCGAGCATACGAGAGAGATAGAAAGGGTAAAGGTCCTGCCTTGGATTGAGGTATTCTCGGAGGACCTCGAATTTAGGCTGGCGGGAGTGAAACGCTATTCACCAGTTCGCAGTAGCTGATGCAGATCCCAGGGCTCGATCCCTAGTCCCCACCTTACCTGTGTACAGTATCTGAGTAGCCTCCGAGAGTTGAACCCGCGACCTGTGTGTTTCGTAACAGTTGGTAGGTCATCGTACGGTCCGTAGGCCGTCGGGGTTTGATCTGTAGACCTGTCCAGTAGGAGTCCAGCCAGATCTAGAAGTCGTAGCTGTAGGCTTCTTGAAAGGTCAAGGTCGTAGCTAATCCAGTCCTGAAGAGTCAAAGTCGTAGCTGCGACAGGACCGAAAGGCCAAGTCCACGGGCTTCTAGAAGGGCCCGGTGGTGGCCTTTCGAGGTTGCCCACGTTTAGGCAGAGGCAAGTGGGCAAGTGGTGGAAGTCCACCGTGCAGAGTCAGCAGTCCCAGTCCAGTCAGTCCGGTCCAGTCAAGCAAGTACTGCCTGGAACTGTGTGCACCGTGGGCCAGGGAAACAGGGCAGACCGACGAGTCACAGAAGTATAAATCAAGAGACCGCGCAAAGCCATTCATTCATTCCTGCGGAAGCCATGCGGAAGCGCTGTCTCAGTGGCTTGTGCAAGGAGGTCTGAAGCAGCCAGAAGTCGAAGTGGGCGAGAGAGACGAAGTGCAGCCATAGTGATAGGGTCGAGGCAGCCATCCCTGCCATAGCTGTAGTTTAGGGTGAAGTGTGTGTGTGTTGTGTGAGTGTTCAGAGTGGTGCGTGTGGGATATCCAGGGTGATCTGGTGTGTGTGAACAGTGAGTTGTTGGGCGCAGAGTCGCCATAGCAAGTGGAAGTGAACTCTTATCTGGATGCCACATCTCTGAGTTCTGTGTGGGCGCATGTCGCCAGTTTGCCGCGATGCTGTTTACATGACGAATCTGATTGCAACATCTTTTTTTTTTTTCTTTTTTTTCCCCCCTTTTTTATGACACATGTGCCTCTGTTACGACCGCAGTACTTTCATGGCTTCTTCGTTGCTTCTTCGAACTCGGCTATTTTCTTTGTTGGCTCCTGTTTTCTTTTGCGCATTTGAAACTATGTTGTGGGTGTGACATCAATGCACTTGCCCCCTTTTTTTTTTTCCTTATGCATTTAATTACAAGCCCATTGGATGAAAAAAGTCAAGAATGTTCAGACTCTGAGGTCAACTGGACTTGAACCCTCACCCTCAGGGTGAGCTTGATCTCTGGAGAAAAGCAGACATCAAAAAAATGAGCATATTCGTTGAACTCTACCCAGGAATCTTCCAACTTCCAACTTCCAACTTAATTATGAAAGGTGGACCCCACTGCCTGGGGGTAGCTTTGCGCCCGCCGCGTGGAGAGCTTCCGCGGAACCCAAATCGTAGGTCCCGGCCATGGGAAATTTTAACGGAAAACCGGACCCAACTGCAGCACACATTTATGGCAGGTCCGTTGGTGATGGTTACTCGACTGGGAAAACTTTCCCTATACAGAAACTTCACGTCTGCTTGTCTCCGTTCTCGCCGAAGCCCTGCCTTTCCTTTCCACATCGTGAAAACGGCTACCATGTCATGTCCGAGCGTTTTGGGCGCTCAGTGCGGGTGAATGTGGGGTCTCACTATTAGTCTTCCAAAGCATTGCCACAAAGCAGTGGGGTCCACCTCTAATTGTAAGACTCTAGGGTTGGGAGTTATCACCTGTGATACATGCCCAGATGGGCAATGTATGTTCAGCCAAGGATCCACAATGTGATGAAAAGGACTGAATGGACAATGCACTATCAGTGGAACATCAACAGACAATGTACATCCCGATACATACGAAATGGCACATAATAGCGCAGTGGAAGACTTTGAGATATGTCCTGACCTGACCGGGACTGACACGACATCCCTTCATACACCACACGTGTGAGAGGAAGAGGAGGGACCACACACCCGGAGAAAGGTCCCTCCTGGTACACGCACATGGGGGGATGATACCACGGTTCAGAGATGGGGGAAGGAGGAAGGACGAAGATGCAGGCGAGGGAGAAGACCAAGATCGCAATAGCAAACTCCAAAAATAGTCCCTTGCCGATGTCCAATCAATGCCTGCCTCAGAAATGTCGAATCCGATCCTGGGCCACACGCCCATTGTAACCTCTGCCAGTATCCCCTGCTTGACTAAGTAACCTCTCTCACTCTCGCAACTGAAGAAGAAGGAGGAGAAGAAGAAAAGAGATGGAGGAAAGAGAGATGGTGGACTTAGAAGAGGAAGAAGAAGAACTCTCTCTCTCTCTCTCTCTCTCTCTCTCTCTCTCTCTCTC